AAATAGTAAAATTCATCTTATCGATATTTATGATCATACATAAAATACAAAGTATATCTTGCAAAGACTTAAGCAAAGTCATCCAAAATTGAAATATTCTTTTATATTAATTATGGATATGACAAAATTAATTGACCTTATCTGTTAAATAAATTAAATGATTTATTTATCTTAATTTCTAGTTTACTGGCTATAATTATGTGAACTAAATATTTAACATTAAACATGTTTTTTATTTTTTTTCTTATGAATTCAAAAAATCAATCATACTTGTTGAAATTTTAGTAAAATTACAAGATTTATTCATCTATTTTTCAAATGCATTTTTATGTCTAGAGAGTATTTTAGCCTTGTAATTAATGATTCATAATAATCATCACAAAAATTTATTTTTAATTTGCAAGAAATTTTTTTTTGATTAGATATTAGGATATTTCAGTAAAATTTTTCTAAATTTATCATATTATTGAATATTTTTTTAAACATTCATGCATGAAGCAGCTACTATAAGCATGCAAAGGTACAACAATCTTAAGAAAATGTCTTGTCTTGTCTTTGAAATAGATGCAATTTTAAAATTTAAATTTTTTTTAAATTAAGTAGAGATCTTTAAAATGGAAATTTTCCCTTTTTCATCAAATGTAATCTTCATTAGTTTCAAATAAACTTATCAGAAATTTTTTTATATGTACTCAATTTTTAAAAAACTTTAAATTTACCATTTTTTATCAAGAAATTTACCCTTTTTAAACATTTTCTGGAGTTGATTTATCTCCCCTTGCTTTGCATGAAAATTTGCTTACTTGTAGCATAATATATCTTCATTACTCAAGACTTTCATCGAACTTATACAATTCGTGAAATTCAAGTGTGTTGAGAGTTTACTGTATTTGTTATCAGTAAAACATTCTTTATAGAAAATGTTTTGAGATTTTTAGCAATGTATTTTTTTTTCAACCTTGCTTGATTACTTTGGAATTTTGCATAAACTGTAAAAATTGCAATCACTTTCTATATTTAAAAAAATTCTATACAATCATCATTCTTTCATTCAAGATTATTTTGCTCACTTCTTATGCACTCTATATTCATCAGAATAATAAGACCATGTTCTTACAATTTACCTTTGATCTTGTTCTATACCTTAATGATCCATCAGAAAAATTAAAAAATTGATTTTTTTTCTCAACTTTGATCCATGATCAATATATGGATCTGTGATTTATTTAAAGGTCATAATTCATTTAAAACAGAATATATAAATGGTAAATAAATCAAGCATGTGGGACCCAACGGTTCAAAAAGCTTAAAAACATCTAACAAGTAATTCATTCACTGACCAGGAAAAAAAGACCCTAAGGAACTTCTCTTAGCTAGTGCCAAGAGCACTAGAACAATGAATAATTACGTCTTTAATATAACAACTTAAAATTGAATTTGAACTACCATAGTAGTATGAGGAGTGTCAAGATCAAGTAAGTATACATGTTTAACTTGATCTTTTGGATACATCAAGAGAAGTTGTGGATCTCAAAGAATGTAATATAGTAATTCTTGTTGTGAATAAGGAATAAAAAAACATTAATGTAATTGTAAGAGATATGTTTACATAACATATTATGTGTCACTCTCTCTAAGTAAAAACTCTAATAAGTGTTCTGAAGTCTTGTTTACACCTTAACGGGGTAAAGCAATAAGATATCTGTTGTGGCCAACCAACCTAAAGTGGCAAAATTTTATCTATGTGGTTTTGATGCAAGTGTGACAGTTATACTTTAACAAAGTTTGCACCAGAGCCCAACATTGAATGACCACGCATATGTCCATGGATTTTTGGTGATTTTTCCATGAGTAGGCACAAGTAATGCTAAGGGAAGCGTTTGTCAAGATGCAACCAAGAATTTGCGTAATTTGAGTAGCATGGGTGGGCACAGGTAATGCTATGGTGGGCATGGGTGTGTTTAGGATGCTACTTAGGGTTATGGTCTAGTCTGGGTGCAGATTTGAAGTAAAATGTTGGCCTTTAGTTCGCAATAGTGTGTATATCACATCTCAACACTGAGATACACTAGACTTCAGAGCTGCATCTCGAACCACCCTTTAGTGTGTTACGTTGTTCAAATTTGTAGGTTATGATTAATATTGAATTCTTATCAATGCACGTTGACATTAATATTAGAAATAAATATATTGATGTTACATTATCAAATATCATGTCATTATAAGAATCATTCAGAATTCTACTTATTAAGTACATATGTCATGTTTCCAAGATATTGGGTCTATCGCCACCCTTAGCCAAGGATTGAGTCCATGTAGTACTTTTTGCTATCTATTCTCTCTTTTCACCATCTGTTGCAGCTTTACAAAAGCCCCAATAGTTTTTTGCAAGTAAAAAAAATGATTCCCATGAAGGTATAGATAAAAGTGTATAACCTCAAAAAAGCTCTCATGAATCATCAGCATCTCGACTTAATTTCAGAAATCAATGACGCATTTCTTGAATTTTCCGATATTAACTTCTACCATTAACCAAAAATAAGTAAATCTGTGGCTCGTGCTGGACGGTTCGATTTTGACCTGATCCACTCCAATGCCTATGAAAAATTGATGTGATAGGTAGATTGTGATATCGTGTAGCTTTGTGATTGGTTGTTTGTCTTAAACAAAAACAATCGCCATCATATTTTCATCAATTGTCCTTTCACTTTATTAAACATCATTCGTTATGCAACCTGACGAATGATTAGTTCAATTAGTTAGTTTGTTACAATTAGTTCTCTATTTAAAATATAGGAAATTACGCTTGAGTCCGGCTTAATTTTCTAGTACTTAAATAGAGAACTAACTGTAAAAATTTTTGAGTCAAATCTTGCTTCTATTTCTTCCAATAAAAGGATCATACTTAGTCTGATTTGCTTCTAATATCTTTTCATTCTTATTTTTCACAATGCCTCTAAAGTATTCTAAGAAGAATCTACAGTTCCAGCGTGAGCACACAGCCAAGTGTGATTTGAAGATCACTCCTTGAGACTCGCAGACTAGCGCGATCTCCAAAGTTGTTTGTCGTTTTTGCATTGTCTTTAGAAAGGAAGATGAAGTTGGTAGGAAGCGAAAAGCTATGGCTAGTGTGAAATATTAGTATTCATTTCTATACGGATAACTACGAGTTGCATATCAAGACGCAACATGCACAAAAGTGGAAAGAGTATCGCGAGTTCGAGAATGCTAAGGAGAAGATAGCATTCTTCATGGAATATTGTGTGCCTCTTGTCAAGACGATGATTGTTTATTTCGAGGGTGATGGATATTTGCAATATTTGATCAATAAGTCCATTGTGAAGATTATCATTGGTGACTTGCTTTTCCATCTTGATGATGTCGAAGAAGTAATCCACAGTCGGCCTCTTTCTCATTTTAAACTGCGGTCTGTTGAGGATGCAAGTGATGATGACCTTCAAAGAATGAATACGTGGGCATTGTCAAGAGGCCACAACAATTTTTTCTTTGCATCTGATACATGAAATGCGGTGCCGCTTTTTGATTGGCATCCCGTTTGTTGCAAACGACCTAGGATCAAATTGGTTTATCGCATCTATGATGTGCAGCAATGTCATGGCATTGAATTATTAAGAATTGTCTACGTTGTATCACTGCAAATACTTTTGAATGTGATGTTGCAAGTGTGGACGTTTTTTATCGCGTTTAATTGTTCCACACATCAAGAGATGTTTTATCTTGATGTTTGTTCTCGAGTGAACATTGAATCTAGTATCCAAAACTTCCATCTCCTGGCTATACCTTTGTTCGATCGGCACACAACAGCCAACTTTTTTGTTGTATTGGAGAAGTTTTTGGATGTGTTGTTTCCTAATTGGAGAAATGTATCATTGGAGTCTCCATTGATGGTGACTCATGAATTGTCAAATTTGCGGGCTATCCACTCGCATTGAGGAAGTTGTCCAGTCATGCATTGTTCGAGTCTCGTGTGAGTTACATCAACTAGACTTTCAGATGCAGATTGTTCTTCAAAGAAGGTTGGATGAAGGATTTTTTTTCCATACAAACTGCACTAATTGAATATTTGCGTAGTCAACAGAACCTAGTTAGTGAGATGGAAGCAACATGTTCAAAAGTGGCCAACACTTGTTGGCTGTCAATGGAAAAAGTCTCAAGTTGGTTGTGCGAGAATCTCGTGCGAGTTCGACAATATCTAGATGAGAAGTAGTCTACGTGCAATGGATGTTTCTATTTGCTCTAAATGCTTTGTTGAAGAAACAAACTCCGTGTTTGTCTCCTTACAAGAGCTCAATACTTTGTTATCTCAACAACGATGCCGTCTATTAACTCTGATGGAAACATATTGCATAATGAGTGGAATGAAGGGTCCATTAACTTAGAGAGAGATCAATCAGTTTGATCTCCTAACAATTGTTATTTGTGGCTAGTTTGTGCTTACACATCGTCACACTTGTGCTTGTCTGGACAGTTTAATTTTATGACATTCTTACTGACTTACCATAGGTAGATGTCTCGCGATTGATTGAGGTCATACATGAAATTTCATCAATTGTGGTCGAGAGCATGATTTAGCTAATGATTCATGTATTTCCTTTTCGTTTAGTCAAGGTTGATATGATAGCTTTCTCAACAACTCTTTGTTCACAAAAGCACCGTTTGAAGGAGAAGTACAGCAATGAACACATCAACGAGATCGGTGAGAATTTTGTCAAGTTGAAGTGGGCGCAACGCGAGGAGGCCGCATTTAAGTACGTTGTGGACACATGTAATGAAAGTGAAGATCAACAAAACCTCTAGCAAGCCTACGCACCTACCAATGAACGATTCCGGTTTCTGTGGTGACATCGTCATGGTGATTCCCATTACGGCGTGTGTTGAGTTTGATTTCTCTCTATTGGAGTGGGAGAAGTATGAACATAGGAACTATCTAGTACTTCTCCCTTGAAGGAATTATGCATTGTGATCAGTGGACGTCTGTCTCCGCAGGCTCTATCCAATAAAAAATAAAGCTTTATTTCCCATAGTTTCCCCTTTCCCGAATTTCTCAAAAATAACTTTGAAATGATCCCGAAAATACTTTATTTTCGGTGATTTTGGGAGATCCCGAAATTAAGGAGGCCTGATCATCAGGCATTTTTCGTGAATCTTCACTGAAGATTCACACAAAGTTCGAAGAAACTTCTTCATCTGGTCAATTCCTTCGTTCCCCTTGTAGGCTTAATAATGCAGAGAGAAGCAGCTCCATAGAGAGAAGCAGCTCGCTGACCTTCATTCTAAACGTCTACAGTAATGTGAGGTTTTGCGACTTGACTGCGAGTGAGGACCTGCACAAGGACCTTCATTAATTACGACGAGGATCGATTGTGGCTGTCGGAGGCTTCTAAACAGCACCTGCAGATTTGAGATACGTTTTGGACGTTTAGTTCACTTTTAGCACTTTCCTCAAACCCCTGCAAAGTCATTTCAGAGAAGATAATGACCGCATTTAATGTTCTCGTGCAGACTCGATCTTCTAATGATTACTGCTTCGACAAATTCTGCCAGGAGGAATAACATACGGACCCAGTGCTCTTTTGGAAAATATCTATACTTATCTAGACAAAGTGTACACGCTAAGCAGCCACATATTCCGCATGAATCTCATGGTAGACCTCACCTGGTGAAACTCAGAACATGCCGTTTCATCATGGAGGGATCGATCAACAGCACGTCATCATTAATGAAGAGGTCAGAATGAAGTTCTTTGCTCCAGGAGGGAAAACCGAACGTACTCAACGTGTGACAGCATTCTGTTCAGTTCGCAGATTCAAGCATCGCTGTTAGATGTACAGGTCGTCGATATTTCCCGTGTCGTCATCACCCAGACTAAGTATTTGATACTACAGATCTTGCACGGTCTACCGGATGATCTTGCACCACGATAAGTACACCATCTCCTCTCCTCTCTCTCACACACACTAGATTCTATTCCAAATCTATCTGCAGTACAATAGCAGTTCTTCGAGTGGATCGGCAACAACGAAACCAATCATCCCGCAAGAGTTTTTCCAGGGCAATCTGAGGCGTTCTCCGATGCAAACAGCTTCATAATAAAAAAATTTGTCGAAGTTAGGGAAAGTTGGACTCTGTAACTTGGAGCTATGTGTACGTCTCTGTTTTCTTATTGCTCTCTGGCACTTAAACATGTTGAAAATTAGAAACACGGTGAAGAACATTTTGTGGGCATACCGGATCAGGTCGTACTACATTTTACCAAACCTTCATCTCGGATCGTTGGTACCGAGGTCGAGTACTGAACCAGATCTACAGAGGCCGACGTACCGTCGATTAAGTCGTCAGCCCTAAGTATAATCGCTCGATCCTTGCAGCCAACGATGAGGCGCGTACCCTCGCGGCAAGCGAACAAGTTTCTCATTTGTGCTCGAGATGCTCGCAGAAATTTCACCTCTCATCCATCAACCGCCTCCTTTTACTGCACAGCGCTGCTTTATCGGGAACCTGCAACGAGCCTTCGTCAGAACCTCAGAATATTGATCAGGGGACTGCAATGCGGGGAGATCACAGGCGGTGGATGTGGATAGAAAAGCTGGGAGAATGGAGCCCCTGGTCGCCTGCAGAGGGTACAAGAATCTCGAGTTTCGAGTGTCGTAAAGTTCGTGACAACACAGAAATTGTTCAACAGTTTCGCTTGTACACGCATGAAATCGAACGTGGATAGCAAGACTGACGAATAGTGGCGATCCAAAGCCTTATTCAGAGAGTTAATTGCGTACATTCACGACCTGTGATGAATGTGTGACAACAGCTTCCAGGAAATTCTCATCTTGCTGAAAACGAGAATGGGACCGGACGCAGCAATCCCATGAGGATATTATTCAGGTTGCGGATTGCGCAGTCAGGGCCGTCTACGCCACTTGCACGCTCCGGGCACAGACCCAGAAGAGCAACTGTCACAGCTCCCCTCGAGCTGACAGCTTGCTCGCAGGCAGGAGCTGAAAGGGGTATGAAAGTTCTGTGTTTGTGCCGTCAGAAGTTCCCAAACCTCGAGACTCTTGAGTCGGTCGACGGAGGGAAATAACGCTCGAACCAACCCCTTCGCCTCGAGCGAGAACTTTGTAAGCCCGTGCCGTCTTGGAAGAGGAGTCTAGCATGGCACTTCATTCCCTTTGATCTTATCTAAAGGCTTTAATTGCAAACTGAACAGGAAAAAGACACGTGAAAATCGGAAGATTATACATGTTTCTTTTACTTCAACATTTATTCTAAACAACTGTTTATCCTCCTATGTCAATCGTAACATTCACATCAACCTGAGCACTTTCATGGAACACATATTTTAGAAATAACCCTATAATATACCTATTGATTGCAAGAAAGGTAGAACACTTAAAAAGGACTTACTTTTTTATTGTCATGTGAAATTAATTTTAAAATGATATTGTATAACAAATAAAAATTATTATCTATTAAATAATTAAATATAAATAAATACATAGATTAGTTTATATGTCAATTAAACTTTGAGTATCATTCCATTTCTTATTATTGTGAGTTACCTCCATGATTTGAATTTCTCCATCATGATATTTGGAAACTTCACTTTCTTCTGGAAAAAAACTGATTTTCATATCCTTATATTATATAAATAATTCCCATGCTTAAAAAAAAACTGTACAGAAAAATTAATTTGAAGTTGAGACACTTCTTTAGATTCATATTTGTAATTTTTTAATTTAAATGGAACCTTTTCCAACCATGAATCTTGCCTTCTTTCAACAATTTCAGATGTAATTACTTGGTTCCATTCTATGCTATGAGACTTCACTCCACGGCCATCGCATCAACGTCTGCCATGTTCCAATGTATAATTTGATAATTTCCAATATAGTGTGCAGAATTTCTGCCACTATGGGACCAAAATAGTCTCTTCCCTGAGAGTATAAAATTTTGTTAGAGTAATTTTAGCCACCATATTGCCGAAGCACTCCAATAGAGTCTTGCCATAATTGCATCCAAGAAAATGCCGAGAGCTTCTACCCAAATTTACCCCAGATCTTATTGGAATACTGCTGACGGTGTACTATTAGGCCCTAATCGGTTAAATGAAACGTGTTGGGTCCCATCAAATAACTTACTCACAATTTCATGATCATTTCATATGTTTCATTTTTTATCTCTTTCAGATATCAATATTTAATCAATTTTATGTTCTTCAATCTCCTTATTGTAGCTATAACTTCGGAAATTCTGTTATTTTATTCAACTCATTTATTCTATTATAAAATCTTCAAACAAAGTTTTCATTGAATTTCAGTTTTTAAAGATTTGATTGTAAATCATTAAAAAAAAATGCAAACTTTTGTTGGTTTTGAAAGCTAAATTTGTATCAATTTTGAAACTTTTATAAAAAGCAAATTTATTGAAGTGTTTAATCATAGTAGAGTTGTAAAATTTTATATTTTTCATAATAATTTTAGAATTGTTGTCTTTGGAATAAAAATGAAGTGAATTTCATCATACAAGAATTTGGTTTGTGGCCAAAATTGGATCCTCTTAGCTTTTTGGAATACCAAACAAACAAACCAAACACCTTGCATTACAAACTAAGATTCAACGTCATATATCTTTACGAAACTCATAAAAGTAAATTACTAAAAATAGCAAAATAAAAGTTGGGACAAATTAGATAACAAATTCATTTCGAGAAATATCCATCTATAACTATAAAGAAAAACAAACAAACGGTCTAGTCTCCAACAATATCATAAACGGAAAGTGCCCAATACAATGTAATATATCTAGTGAGTGGCTAGTGATCCCTCAGTTTATGATAATTATATCTCACACTACAAAAATTATATAAATTGTTTAAGAAATGATATCTGTGATTGGTAAGAAGTATCTTGTTTCAAAATGACCACACTAGTTCCACCGCCGGAGGTATACCACGCAACGCAACATTTTACGGTGCGCTATCAGCAATGCAACCTTACGAGTTATATCAAGGCTATGCAACCAAATAGAAATTAAAAAAGTTAGTTATCGAAAGTAGTTTGTTTCTAACCAATCACACACATCAATTCTTAAACAATTTATATGACTTTTTGTAGCCTCATATATATTTAGCGTAAACTATTATAACTAGTCGCTCTTTATATCTGTGTATAAAAGTGTATAACTTCCACTTCATCATGACCATCAAAGTCACCACAACATCTAAGTTTCATTGAGCTAGCTACAAAAAATAAGAATAGAACTAGACTTTCAAGGAACCAAGAAGGTTATGGGACGGAGCGTTCTCGACTGCAATGTGGTCCGAGAGAACAACAAAGGCGATAGAGGCGTCCCGAGAGAACAAATTAAAAGGAAATGAATGTCTTACAAGAAGTGTACGAATGTGACGCGAGACTCGGTCAAAAGCTGGTATTATACAAGCAACCGAGTTTCAGGAATCGAAGGAGCTTGATTTGTTGGTCAATGGTGTTCACTTGAAGTATATCAACAAAAACAAAGTTTCAAGTCGTCGACCACAAAAAGGGCAATGAGTTGTCGTTACCCAATTCGATAGGCAGTTCGCGCCAGTAGGCTTTAACCTGCTTCACCATGTAATGCGTGTCAAGAAGAAATGCGCACATGTACCAACATAAGTTAACACCATGAACAGAACTTTGTGTGCTTCAACACGACATCGTACGGTTTTTAACCAAAACAGGCGTTGAGCGCAGTTTTAGCTCGATAACGTACTAAATAGATTTAAAAGTACATGTGTGATCATTGCCTGCATGTCGTCGAAATTGATGAAAGTATATCCAAGTCACGTAATTTTCGAGACTGCTCTTGAACGACACCTTTCCAACATGCAAGCTCTCTCTATCTTCATCCTCTGTTTAAAATTACTCTACCCCGGCTGGCCTGACCGTGCATAACATCGCTCCTTGTTGCATATCATATCTGACTGCATCTGTGTGTATGTGACAGTCAATGACATGATTCAGTCCAGAAACTGGCTGAGGCGAAAGGAAATAGAGTGGGAATTGCAACAGCATGCAATGTTGACGATCGTCTGCAGCTTGCGGTGACAAAGGTTATGGAAGTGCCCTGTGCGCTGTTCCCAATCTGGCAAGTAACTGTCACCTGTCCTTATGGATGCTACCTACAGGTCTTCTGAAAAGGTCTATAGTCTCTTGATCCCCATCAGTTGGAGGACTCAAAGGCCGTTCCAGGTTTATGAAGTATGGATCGTATGACCATAAGACCCTTTTTCCCCTTTGCCATGTGAATGAAAGAGAAAATTGGAGAGTTCGTGGTTCTAGTGCTAACGGTTTGATGCAGCTTACCATCTCAAATCGATGCTGGTTACTCACATTGACCTCCTGTTGTAGCCAATGACCACCATGGAAGATTTCCTCGCGGCAGAGAGCTAAACAGAAGATGCGTCTCTTGAGCTTCCATAACTTTTACGCTGCTAAGGTTGTTTGAATCATGTAGTTGGTTATCTCGTTATCCGAAGTTATCCATTGATGTCTTTGGATGCGTCCAAGGGGAAGTGTCCATGAAATAGCGATCCATCAATCACACAATGAATAGACAGCCTTTACACTGTGCTCCAGCTTTGAGGTTTTACTTTTTGAGTTACAGAGACCCACATGTAAAGGCTCAGACACCAGATCTAATCTTCTTTGATTCCTCCTATATTTACAGAGCGATTATTGAGCTTATGATGCGTAAACAGTAGAAACTCCGCCGATTTAGAAAGATTTGCTTTGATGCGCATAAACTGGCATTCTGCTTAATACTGGCATTTCAGCAGCCCAGGGCCATAGCTCAGAGCTGTGGCACGGACCTTACTAATGCATCCATCGTCTTCATCGAAAAGCTCAGACTTGGTTCCCCAGGAACTTTTGAGCACTGTAGCAATTTAACAACAATCTGTCATGTGAAGTTTCTGAGAAAGATAGAAGTGTCTGCGTATTCAAACCGGGTACATTGCATCTGCGAAGCCTGTCATTACCTAAGTTTATGGGATGTGGGGTTTTGGCACCCTTTACGTCGTATGCGTGTGCTAGTTTTCACATGCTTCGCGCAAGTACGAAGGATGGAGTGTCAGTACCAAATCATTGCTGGAGAATAAAAACATTTCAGAGCTTGAGTTTGATACTAATTCTGAGTCATGTCAGCCCTGTAGATCCCTTAGACACTAGAGACACCTGAGCGCATTCGGAACAGGTAAAGACATCTAGATATCCAAAATATATTATGTGGCAAGAGCTTGTCGCCGTAAATCAAGCTGACCACGATCATCACGAACGTAGACCAAAGAAGGAATGTAAGCAACATCTTTGAAAGCATTCGAGCGGAAAAAAGATAAAAACTGATGCGCATTGTGGAAGTGGTGTGTCCACCGTAAACTGAACAAAAACACCGACTTTACAGAGACATCAGATTCTTATCAACCAATCCACTGTGCAGCATGTGCATGTAGTTCTCAAGGACGTTTAAATTGGCTGATGCGGTGCTGGTCCGTGCTTCTGTCGTATATGTGGTCCCACGATGTTCATGCTTTCATGTGCGCAGGAATGAAAAATGAATAAACAAGGCTCCAACCTCTCGGTCTCGACAGGACGAAACGGTGGACGGAATCATAATGATCAAACGCTCGAATAAACTAGCAGTAACTCTATGGCCTTCACTTCATCTGCCTTCACGCTGTCAAATCACTCTCGCGTACTGTTTCCCTCACGGAATTCGGCTGAATCGTTGCGCATTTACAAGTGTTTCTCTCTCTCTCTCTCCTCTGTTTTCCCGATTCGACTGTTTACCCCACGCCTGAAGGCATGTGATAACTCCGTTACCTTCCTTCCTGCAACATCTACGTGAGGTCGATGAGCCTTGCACGCAAGGTGGGGCTGTAGCACTGTGTATGTCATCGGCCACAGCTCTGTCCGCAGAAGGTGTCACGAAACAGCAGCTAGCGCCAGCAGTGATTCCACCCGAGAATGGAGCGAAGGACTTAATGAAACATTGATGATGCCATCGTACAGAGGGAAATCCTTAGACTGCGAGGAGCACGAAGGCCATCAGGATCCGGTGAGGCATCTGAGGCAACCAGTGGCGCGGCCGTTCGATTCCTCCGCCGACGGTTTGGATGAGGGCCGAGCTCGCGAGACCACTGGCGCGACGGATCTCGCACATTGCTGCTGCGGTGGTGGGCAGGCGAGGCCGATGGCCGGACGTTCGGTCTGAATCTATGGGGCCGGATGCTCTCTCGGAAGCACTGTGGCGGGAGCACATGAAACCGTCAGGTGCCGCTGGAGGACAGATCCTCCGCAAATCGTACAGAATTGCACTCTGTTTTAGCGGTGCTGGTGACCATGAGCCATCATGAGGTGGGAGCGGAGAAGAACAATCGAACATTCAGTATCCCGCAAAGCTGCAGCAGCAGCAGCAGCTCATTAACATCTGGGCGTTGAGGGCCTCCAGATGCAGATGCAGCAGCTGCAGCATTGCGACCGGCCTCATGTGAGGAGATAAGCTTCGTGCTGCAGCAGCACTAGCAAAAAGCAATAGTGAGAGTGGAAGTACGGCTCGTCAGAATCAGGCAACAAACCGATTCACTTACTCTTCATTCTGAACCACTTGTACATGAAAGTGTTGCTAATCCATGAGTTCCAGGCATGTCCATCGACAGGTCACATCGCAAGCCAGGAAGTACATATAGAGAGAATTCGTCGACAAAACTCTAGTGCGTCGTGCCAAATGAGCTAGTGCCAAGCGAAGCACCATTGCTCCACCGCACTCGAGGTTGCTGCAGGTGCGTAGGTCCACGAAGCGTTTTCACGCGGATTTCAAGCTGGACCTCTTCGGGCCCAAGGCGTTCGGGACCTATGGCGAGCACTTTTCCGCTTGGGTTCCTTCCTCGGCGAAAAAGTCGGAATCGCCCTCGCAGTCCGTATCGGGACTGAGGTCCAGGCGATCGGAGTCCAACAAGGTGCTGCAGGATCGAACCAATCGGGCCAGAGAACCGAAGGCGCCGCCAGTTTATTATGCCAGCGATAGACCCATCATGAAAGCGAAGCTGCTACTGGGGCCTTCTAATGGCGGAAACCACCGCAGGTGTAGCAGCGTTAGCAATAGACGGGCGCAACTGAAAGTCCTTCTAGAACCGATCAGGGAAGAACATCCGCTTCTGCTGCAACAACATCAGGTCGTTCCGGTGCAGCTGCGATGCGCTCAGACACGAAAATGCAACAACATACTACGACCGGACTTTTTGAATTGGAGCGAGCGCATGATTAAAAAGCTTTCTCCTCGGATATGTAGGACGTCATCGACGCTGCGTTTCTTCGCTCGAATCAAAGACAAGTGCAGACGCCAGTCGACGTAGATGTGAGAGATTTTCTGATGCATCACTATCATCATAGCTTATGTAGGCAGCGGCCGGTCCTATCAATGACCATGAATTAACAGAGGTCGACAGACAACGAAGACGAACGAGACCAGAGATATAATTGTGCCGGAGGTGGAAACCTGACGGAGCAGACAAAGATGGATGGCTTGACGATATCTGTCTTCCCCAAATTTGGAGTGACGGACAAAAATGCAGCACTTGTATGTATAGGCTTACTTGCGTTGTTTCGTCACAAGCTTCAGCGAGAAATGCAAGCTATTTGTAATCTTATGCGATCTCCATGGTGCTACTGAGAGCAGTCAGTAACCCAACCTATGATGATACAGATTTGAGATCTGTCCTTTGGTTGTATTATTTACTGTCCTTTAGATCTATCTACCGTGAAGTTCAACATTTGCCGTGTATAAAGAACAGCAGTCTCATATTTGATGATGTTGGCTCACATGTATGACTCTTCTTCTTGCTTCCTTCGTCGCCGTGCAAGTTAATGTCAGGCTCGAGCTAACGAGCAATCATGGCGTTCGCCGTTCAGCACCACGTGAGCATTTGTATCATCTGTGGTCAAGCCTCTCCAACTCTCCAGACATTCTACAGTTCAAGAACCTTCCTCATCGATGAAAGATGCTTTTGAGGTCATAAGCTGGCACTGATTACTTTTCACAAATTACATACGGACTGCAAGGAACTGCTTCAGTTGTTTAATTTGCGGTTTACCTTTCCTTTCACTACCTGCCCGTCCTTCACTTTAGACTCATTTCGTCTAGCCAAGGTTTGACATGTGACGGAACTTCATACTTGGACTCGCTTGGGATAATATATTCACTAAATGGCCTTGTGTGTCATCCTTCAGTTGTTCCTGGTGTATTGAATGCCTCGTTGTTGCAACTGTAGACGGCAACAGGCAACTCTATACGAGTCTCTCAGAGTCGTCAGTTCCGAACCTTGGTCCTATCTATCGGAATTTTCTTCTTGTCTTTCATATTGTCTTCAATTTGTCCTTGTCTCCACGTCAAAACCCTCAATCTTCCACCAAAATGGACATCGTCAACTAGTTGTTCCCCTTATTATATCAGTTGCTGGTCTTCATCGTATGTGTCTCTTGTAACACGACGTATCTTTTTGTCGATGATTCTTTCCTACGAAGCACCTGGTGGAGGTATTGCTTAGAAAGCTGGATTAGCAGAGGGCCTCATCATGGCCCACACCGCTAGTGTCTTACACGATCCACAGAAGATTTACAACGCTGGCGTCCTATTTCATCATGACCAGGCGAAGCGGGCTATTGATCAAATGCGCGTTTGATTGGTTGTAATCTTGAGCATCAGACTTTGTATGTTTGAGATCTGAAAGACTGGGACATGTGAACGATTCGTTGGTTAGGCCTTTGTAGAATCACCATGTGCAGTTCTACCAACACTCGATGCTACAGTTGTGTAATTCTTAGGAATGTACATTTTAACTTGTCGTAGCAATAAAGGAAATTCAATACATCAAATCGGTGCTCCCTTACCTTAGGATTAAGAATATATAATTTAGTTATGGTTTCATGGTATACATACGTTGTGATATCTTACTTTTCTCAGGTTTCTAGACAGTAAAGGGTTTTTTTTTGTAGATAGTTTAAGATTTGTAGCTAAATTTAATGTAATTTATGTTGCAGTGGCCTCCTGTTCTAAGTTATTTATTTATATATATAAAAAATTGAGAAGAAAGAACCTATTCGTTTCAGTGTACTGGATAACAAACATAATTGTAAATGGAAAAGCACATGTTATCACACCTGCTAGCATATGAAACTACATTACTTCTTACAGTTTTCTTAAAATAAGTTTCACGTAAATCTCTACTATTAAGCAACACGATCATGATTAACTTCTTTATTTGTGTCAGAACACCTCTTGAGACAGAACTTCAAGGGTTGATAGATTAAGTTTGGGGCCTTGTCTATCACTCCAATAATCTCAGAAATAATCAAACTTATTAAGATTGTAAAGCTTATAAAATTGCACCAATGATGCACATAATGATGCACAAGTCAGACCCAAATCCACACCGAGGAAGAAAGAAAATTAAAACGTGCACCAGATTTTTAGCTGGGAACGCGTCAAACGTAGGAACAGTGGAGGCAAAGAGCCATAAGGTTAGTTGACCGAAGAAACTTACGGTCAACTAACCTATGACCTAGGCTCTCTGAGCAATATTGTCCTCACTACTTTACTTATGACTCGGGAAACAATCGTTCCAATGAGTTCTTCACATCAGGCTATAGTTCATCTGAAATCCAATATTGGGACATGGTCCATCAGACAGAAAGAACTTACAGTATGCAGAATCATGAATCAAGCCCAGATTTCCGGCAGAATCCGAAGGTTCCAGCAGAGATATTGTGCGTATAAGCCAGTTCATATTTTTCAACCCTTGATCAAAGATCATATATCAACAAAAGTTCATCGAGATGCTTTTAAGTTGCATCGTCAGCATGATGTTATTTCTGGCCAAAAGATAGTTCTGAAAATAAATGTGAGAATTAGTCGCCGTAGAATCCGAAACTTACTGTTGGTGAGACTCAGCATGTGCATCAGGATCAAACTCCATAGTAGAGGTAGTTCACAACTTTCCCAGGAACTAGATGAAGAGATTCTGTGCAACTAGCTGACCTGAGTTTAATTCCGTAAGGTGCTTCAGTTAATGATTCACACAAGCAATCAGTATAGGCTGTTTACGAAAAAGGTGGTCCACATTACATGCTACGAGACCTCTTCATCTAGTGAGGATGGTTTTGCAAAGCCCTCTGAAATACCTAAACAGCTTTCGATGGTGTTCAAGCAAGAATCATACCAAGCTTACCCAAGCGGTTCCCAATTGCACCTTATAAGTCCAAGTTCCATCATCAATGACGATACTCATTGAGACAAAATGTTTATTTTTTTCTTCCAGTCGATGCACCAAGACCCCAAGAGCCATTTTGCTTACATTGGTGGATACAAGTCTGGTGATACACCCGCTAACACTGCTATCTAAAATGTACCTAAACTTTTCCTGCGTAAAGGTTACTGGGACATGAAGAACCAGTCATTTGCCTGGTGTTGAATTTGTGTTGATGAATCACAAATCTTGCTGCCTGAAGAAGCCATTACCTCTAACACGGAAGCATACAATCTACACTAAGCTCAATGCCTCGGTTAAAGGGATTGAACATCTTTCGGATTTGTAAAGTATTTAAAAGTTGGTCTTAACTTACGAATACGTTTAGCTCACGTTCGAGACATGGGAGAACCACATATACCACAAACAGCCCTCATAGATTTTCAAAATCGACTTTTGAAAGTTTTAACGAAATGGTGATAGGAGTGAAAGAGTCCCTTCTCTCCATACTAGCTCAACACTAGGTCTCTCGTATTCTGCCTCTGCCTCCATCATCATCTGGTTGTAACTGCGATGTAGTTTGGATTGGTGACATGAGAATGAGAATCTTCATTGCTCGTATCAGTGTGGTCAATGGGCAGCAAGTAAGCTTCAAAATCCGAGGGGGGTAGGGGGTGAAGTTATGTACATCGTGATCCGTCGCAACCGAAAATCCTAAGCAAAATCCAATGGACTGCTAATCTGCACACACAGAGCTCGTGACCATGCTTTGGAGCTTAATCTTGCTTGGGCTCTTTCTGCTGTTTCACCAGTCGAGGATCGAAGCGGTTTTTTCCACTTTTCTCCAAAGCCGTAGGTTCGTGGACCGGCTGCTGTGTGAACATCAGGATACAATTGGAATCAAATATCCTCTGTCAGGCTTTATCCACGTTGTTGTTTGAAATGGCCTGCACACCTTTTCGACAAGGGACGGGAAGTGCTCAATTGTTAGCCTCTCTCTGCGGTGGACTCCGGCATTTCTGGATCACAATTACCGATTTCTCAACTAATGCGCCACGGCTAGCGTAGTATGAAACTCGAGATCGAGTCGTACATTGGGATCGGATTAGACATCGCAGATAGCTCGTTCAGAGGACCGTCAGTGCGTGAGGGAGCGATAAGATTAAAAAGGGACACCGTCAGTCTCTACGTCTCCTCGCCTTGCTTACTAGTGAGCATCCTCGAGGTTTCATCCTCCTGCTCACTCGCCTGCTCGGGCTCCAGGTAACTCGAGTCCTTGAGCTCGACACCGGCGCCAGAATCCTTCTCGACGTCCGACTCCGCCAAGTACTTGGCAGCACGGACCTCATCGCGGTCGCGGGGGTAGGTCCGGTACAGCAGAGAGTAGATCATGCAGCAGATTGCGAAAGGAAGTCCCATCGAGGTGAAGATGGCCTTGCCGAGGGCGGAGGCGTTCTGTCGATCGATGGTCTCTCCGACGCTGTGGCTGGTGCCCTTGGGGATGGGCACGAAGCCATAAATTCGCTCGGAGAGGATGCCGGCCAGAGGCGGCCCGAAGGCTGCGACGACGCTGGCGAAGGTGCGCTCGAGGGCGTAGACATTGGTCCGCGACTGCTGGGGGACGACCTCGGCCATGAGCGGCGCGTTGGTGGACGGCGTGTTCCACGAGATGAAGAGGCCCATGGCGAAGAGGACGGCGCCGTGCAGCAGCGCCGTGGACGGGTCGACGGGGAGCGCGAGCAGCAGGACGGCGGTGAAGGGCACGGCGACGCCCGTGCACACTTGCGCCACGACGATGCGCCCGGTGTCGGGGAACCAGCCCGCCATGCGGTCGCCGATCCAGCCTCCGAAGAGGCCGCCGATCGAGCCCGCGACGATGAAGAACGCGACGATCGTCGCCGTCTTGCCGTGCGAGAACCCGATCAGCTCGAGCCACATCGGCGCGAACGAGAAGGTCGACCAGGCGAACGCTCCCACCACCGCCTCCGCGACGATGATTTGGAACGTCTTCACCTTAAGGACGCGCTTCGCGTCTTCGAATTGCTCCCTCAGGTCCTCCTTGTACGTCGTCCGCCCCGGGCTCGGGACCTCGGATGACCCCGACCCCGACACCGACCCCGAGCCGGGATCGTCTGCGAAGAAGTAGAGCGTGCAAGTAATCAACGCGCTGAGCATGGACAGAAGGATGAAGGACACCCTCCAGCCCGAGACGCCGACCACCGTCGTCCCGGCAAGAAGGACCGAGACGAATCCCCCGAAGAAGGACCCGGCGTGGCCTGTCAGCTGCAGCCAGCCGAAGGTCATGCCCCGATTCGTGTCGTCGGTCGCGTCGGCGACGAGCGACTGAATGGCCGGCCATGTGACGGCGATCCCCACGGCGCTCACGGCCATGGACAGCGCAATCTGCGAAAACGTCGTCGAGGTGCCGACGCAGAACGTGGCGATGGTGGAGATGAGCGCTCCGGCAGCGATGACAGTCGTTCGTTTGTACCTCTTGGCCAGGTACCCAGCGAACGGGGAGCAGACTGCCTGCGTCAGTGATCGAATCAACGCGAAGCTGCCTAACGCCGATGGCGACGCGTGCAGCTCGAGGCCGATTTCTCTGTACACTGCCGGGACCGCCGCCATGTCCGCTTTCTCCAGAATGGAAGCGACGATGACCAGCACCAGGCTCCGCAGCCTCCTGTTCCTCCAGACTGACATTATCCCCGTGGATTCCATCTTCGGGTTCCTATCTATCGAGAGAAGTTCGAATTGTGGTGAAGACTCGTGAATTTCCGCAATGCTAGACCTGTGCCTGAGATTCGCGTCCGCAAAGTCTTCTGTGTTCACTATCATCATTAGTATTGCAGTTGCTATTGGCATCCATCCTTGTGACCACGGCTGGCGCAGCTTCGGCGGCTATATGTTCCTGTTTGTCGAGGGTGCCACCGACGTCGACTCGATTCTCGAGCGAGCTCTATGAGGCTCATCGCTCGTCAGCCATAGATTGGCCGAATGGATTTCCACGCTCGACGACCCAATTTCATTCTGATAATTATCGCATCCAACTGACTGCACGTCGTCGACGTTGCCAGCAGAAATCAAGAATGCCGATGGTCCTTCCTTTCTCACAGTCCGAAGAATGAGATCGTGTCCCTCCGAATGCGTGCCGTAAAAAGTTTCGAGGCCTCGAACACTCCGAGGTCAACGATCACTTTTTCTTAGTACTACTTTCGATACATGCCTGAGATCTCAGAACAATGATCCTTATATGTACAAGAAATAAGAACCCTCTCCCTTTTTCGTCATACGGAATGATGACATTCGGCTCTTGATCAGACATTCATGCATGCGACTCCGTCCCGAGGAAATCCACGCATGATCTCGGCAAACAAGTGCCCCGATCTAATCCTAGAAATATAAGAATCCGCCTGCACCCACGGGAACGGAGCGAACCAAATCCACGAACTCGAGCATCTAAATTCTGTTTACCATATCGCACTCATTTCCATCCGTCTTAAACGATTGTCCATCTCTGCAAAGCCGCACCGAGCTGCGCCTTGGAACCGGTCGTGTCCGCAGTCTTCATCCCAAAGGTAAGCTCAATCGAGGGGTTTCCACGGCCGAGAAAGTCCTACTGAATCTGCGTTGACTCGGTGGGGTCACCCACGGAATGGATGCACAGTGCTTCGAGGATTTGGAGTCCTGGAGCGATTCGATATATGCCGATGGGAAGAGACTGGGAAAAAGGGGTCTGAGGAATCCCCGGCTGCTTATACAAGGCGCTAGTCACTGCAGACGCCGATGGAGTATAATATTCTCGAATGGAAGAGAGTTCTGAGGTACCCCAGGGCATGATGGAAGTGTCGTTGGAAAGTTGACCGCAGCAGTCCGAGGGTTTTGATGCATTGAACTCGCACATCGCGAGGTTGGACCCTGGAAACATGGTGGCACGAGCCTAGTGGCAACTGGACGTGGGGGCAGGGTGCAACCGGGGACGGAAGTGCACATCAATGAATCTCGGAGCCTTCTTAGTTACAATCACATCTTGTTTGTCTGTGCCGATGCTCATCAATTGGCAGTGCGCTCGTCAGCCCGTAGTCTTACGTTCCGTTCCTTCAATTGCAGAATGATGAGGTCTCACTACGCGAAATGGCTACACCTCGCAGCTAAATCAAGAGCCAGTTGATGACCCCTGCGCTCCTTCATGCATGGATCTCAATCCTCTAGTTGCATGTAGTATCCATGGTGGTGGCAGTTTGGCCCCTTTCCCGCGGAAGTGCATCTATTTTCGTGATGACCGTGGTCGTGGACATTGAGTTCTCCGGTAAGGTCTGAATCAATGGTGGCCTTAAGTTAGCAGAGGGTGGGCCCAGCTTAATTCCCAAATACGGGAAAGGTGGTCTCGATGGCAGTTTGGACCTGTCCTCGCCGAAGAATGGAACAAAGCCGAAGGACTTGAACCAGCTTATCAACGAGTACCACTCATAGTCTAACATTGAGGTTAGATCATGATGCATCTGCTATCAAGTCGGGGAAGACAAGCATTTCATGCAAATCAAGAGGTGTAGATGGCGTTTGCAGTGTCAATCAATGTAGATAGAGGTGACATGACACACTGAATCAACTGTACAAAAGGTGAAATGAAAGCGATGTTATATGCACACCGAATTTTCCGTGGAACTTTTCGGGTGTCAGGACTTGGATCCTTGAAAAGAGCAAGAGAGGATTGCAGGACAAGTGTGAGATGATGAACGCTTGGGACGGTTGAATGATTACAATATACGAGATGTTTGTCAGACCAAGAAGGAAAAAGAAAAGCGCTAACCTCTTACGTGAAGGTGATGCAAGAGTGGCGACCAATTCCTAAACATTCTAACCAATCATCGCAACTTTGCTAAAGCTGTTTCAATTTTCTGCAGTGGGGGGATTGCCGAGGGTTAAATGGAGTAGGAATGACTTGGTCAACAGGCCGGGTAACAGAGTCAGTTGTCGGCCCATCTCCCAAAACTGCTCCTCTTTCCCTATGATGGTGAGAATCTTTCATCTTTCATTTATCATGGCTGCGGATGGGAATACTGGATCAAGTTGGAAGGGAGTAAAACTTAATCAAACATTTACTGTGCATTTACACTTCAAGTATGGTGATATCCTTTGCGAGGATAAATCTGAGGTGAAGTTCTATAGTACTTTATACCCTCAGTTACCGAGACGACAGATTCGACAAACTACTATTATGTTACTTCAACAGTTAGGAAAATATTCAGGAAATTGAGATAGAATATATCTATACAACTGAACCTGAAAAAAAAATACCCAACTATATATATTTAACTTACACTAAAAACTAAATCCTGTAAGTACAGTAATGGTATGAAGTGGTATCATTTTGAAGATTTTACTATAAGTATGGCTACATATATACGAATGCATAACTTGAAACAAGAAAAGTGTATGATTTAAATTGTAATTAACATGTTTTGATCTGCATAAATTTTTGAAGACATCATAACAATATTTATGCATTGAAAATTTATTGAAATTCTAAATCAAATTGATCATTTCTTATCAATATTTCCTAATTCAATAGATCTCCACATTATATCTATTGAAATTAGAAAATGAGATTATGTTTTCATAAGTCAGATTTTCACAAAGAAACATTTAAATAAATGTTATCATGAGATTCAGTATTATTCTATTATTTTATGCATCATGGAATATTCTTGTTGTTTATCAAATAGATATATGCATACACACACATTTATCATAAACATGTTATTATGTTTATCAGTGCATCTCAAACTTAATCATATATCATAAAGTTGTTTCTATTGGTTTATGAAATAAATTTGATCCTTTTAATAAACCAAATTTTTAAATGGTAAAAAATATTATTAGTTGAATTAATTTCAAAAAATGCATTGTTTGCATAAAAAAAATACACAAAAATTCATTTCATAATTTATCAATGTAAAATTAAAATTTCAAAACACTTAGAAAAATATAACCCAATATTAGTACTTCATAATTTATAATTAATATTATGGACATACATGTTAAATAAAAAAATATTATATCATATATCTCAATAATGTAATATACAAACATCAAAATTAGGCATTTTTATTGATAATTTTCATATCAATAAGTCATATCATTATATATGATTAATAAAATTAAGATCAAAGTTATTTACAAAACAATGTTTTTTTTTATTATATAATTACATTTCACATCATATGATATCAAAATAATCTCAAATGCTATTTCAAGTGATGAAAACTAATATTTCATGATACTAATTATATCAAAAAAAAATTAAAAATATTGAATATATTTTCAAAACTAATTTTAATATATTTCATCATTTATTACAAGTTATGTTTTTTTATAATATTTTTTACCTTTTTTTATTCAATCAATGTTTGATATGTGATTTAACTAGTTCAATCCATGACATAAGATCTTTTGCTTTTATTATAAATCAAAAATATTTACTTGCATGCAACTTTTTCATGTGGATAATTAAAAAAATATATACGTATCATTCATATAATTATTAAAAATGTGTAATATTTATTACTTTTTATTCAAATCTCAGATTAAACTCTACTTAACATTATTTGAGTTTGACATTGATTCAGATTGAATACTGGTTGGAGATAAAATCATTGTATCCAAATATTTTTTTATCTATTTACTATTGAAAAAATCAGAGTTTGCATTTAACATTTAGTAGATTTTAAATAAAGTTTCTATTGTTTCCATGTATGCAATTTGAGATTGTCAAACCACTTATTATTTTAGTTGACGTCTTGCTAGTGAATTTTGATGATTGATCATAAAATTCACAATAGCAAGGACAATAGGGAGACGTGTATATTCAATGATAACAAGTCTCCATTGTGCTCGCTGTGCGGCATTTTTTTTGAGGGAGATGACAACATGATTTTTTCAAATGTGCTTAGTGAAGATGTTCTTATATGAGTGCAGCAATTTCAATTGAAGGAGGTGACGACATGAATTTATCAAATGTGCTTTGTGAAAGATGTTGTTATATAAGCTATTTTGAGATTCTTGAGTATAATTATACTTTCATACTTCTATCTAGAGTACTATCTCATTTGAAGTTAATGTGAGTACTAAAGCTTTCAGTAGTATTTGAAATATTCAAAATTGCATGTGTCATTTGTGCAATAGTTTTATTGCTATAATATTATATCAGTTTATGCATGTATGAGTAAACCTCTTTGAGATGCTACACATAATGGAGAACAAACAATAGAATAACTTTTAAGAAAGTATAGAAAGAAGATACATGGAAAAATATAAAGATTCTCAAAACTCAAGTTTATATATATATATATATATATATATAAACAACTAATCAAGTGAAATCAAATTGAATTTGAGTTTTGTGAACAATTAGAAAAATGTAAAATTAATGTGATTCCTTCAACCAAAGCATTGTCAGCTGTGATGTTCCAAAGTAAAGAGATACTCCGAGTAGATTTTGACAAGCAATACTTTTTTTAATATAAAACTATTTGCGATTTTATTATTTGAGGTATTTGGATTGCGAAGGTGAGCTCAATAAGTTTGCTACAAAAATGCTTGAAACTTTCAAGAAAAGGTAGGAGTCGTATAATCCAAATCATTAGTCACATCAAGTGGCAATCAACCTAGCCAATGTTTCAACAATTTTTTTGCAATGAGTACACTTGTTGTCAAGATGGAGGCAGATCCATAGGAATTTTACACATGTATGCTAGCCTAGATTGATTTGTCAAGTTTCAAGATTTAGATTATGAGCAATCTACATGTATATGGGAGTATGGTTAGTAAGGTTAATTTTATGTTGAAATTTCTAAAAAACTTCAATGCAATCATGACAAATGTTGTGAAGGTGCGAGGTGGTGGTACCATCAAACTCATGTTGAGCAGTTTACAAGGTTCCACTAGGTTGATTTCAAAACTCTTGCTAAATAGCAAGATTGATTTCAAGGATAAAATTCAGTTGTCACTAGTTGGAAAACTAAATGAACTTCATGAACTTTGATATCGCTGTCATGATAAGTTGATGATAGATGAAAATGATCTAATAAAAACATTACAATCAAAACTTTTGTAAAGCTATGAAAGCAAAATAATGTTAAGTTTTAATATCAATTATATATATATATATAATGTGATAATATAAAATAAATCTAACATTAATCCATATTTTATTCACATATTTTAAAATTTTTATATAAATTAATATGAATAATATATAGCAATTATTTAACAAATAAGTGAAATGTAAATAAATCTGTTTATTAGTATTTTAGTTTATGTATTATATTTTTTAATTTAAATATAAAAACAAAAAAAATGCTATAGAAAAGATTAATAAAAACTTATATAAATCATATTTTAAAAAATTATTTTTATTATTTAATAATTAAATAAGAAATTTCAACATTTTTTTCAAACATACATAATATATAGTAAATTTGATGTTTGTTTTTTTATTCTATATGAAGACTAAAATCAATTTCTAAACATAGTCATTAATTTTAGAAGAAATATTTAATATTTATTGATAAATATGTCTGAAAATAATTTTTTTCAATTTTACTTATTCATATTATTTTATTAATAAAACAAAAATAATTTTAAATGTACAAAGATCTATTTTTTCATCTAATTGAAGTTTAATTCATGAAATTTTCTTATACT